ACCCCGGCCTTCTTCAGGCACAGCACTTTGCTCAGCCAGGTGAAAACAAACACAGGCCACAAATCAACATCTGCACCATAGATCTTCATGGGTGGTGGTGGGGGGGCCGCCCTGCCGTCTCACCACAGGATACAGGGGGGTCTCTGCTCTGGCACACCTCCCCCCTCCTTTCTTCCTCCGTTCCTCCACTGACCTTGGTGTTCACTCAGCTGCAGCAATTCCTCCTCACAAGTCCCACTGCACATCACCACGTCCCTTCTTAAATAGGTCATTGCAGAGGCGCAGCTGATTAGCTCAGTTTTCAAGCAGAGGTGGGGCAGACTTGGAGCTTAGAGAAGCTTCTCACAGGGGGGCTGCCCCTGCAGCCCCCTCCCCCGCCACCAAACAAAACCAAACCCCACCACTCACTCAACCCAGGACACTAATGTATGCAAAAAACATTATTTTCTCCATTTCCTGGGTGTGAAGGAACATGGAAGGAAAACTTGTGTATTGTAGTACCGACAGGGAAGCAAAAACATTGTTGCTCTGATTTTAGTTGTTTGGGTTTTTTTATAGGTTAAAGACATGTGGTAGGCTTTAAGTATCTTTTAATAAACCTAGAGAAGTTGGACATCACAGTTTCCATCTGTTTAACAGTGGTAAAATACTGCTTTTCTGGCATTGTCACCATAATGTCATCTTGTTGATGCTGATGTTCAAGAGAAATGATACATTTTTGTCTTATAATTACAAATAATTGTGAAGCAAAATTTCAGAAGTCTTGACAGTGAGAGATCATGACTTATTTCAATATCACTACTTAACTTCAGAAAAGGTGCATAGCCTGTGGCCCTTGAATGTTTCTACTGTAGAATATGAACATATAATGTGAAGATTATGCAGCCAGAATTGCAAGCAGTCATGTGTCTATGTGGGCGCTTATAACTGGGGAACATAATATATTATGTGTGATGCTTCTAGAGCATATTGCTCTAATACTTACTCTGTGCAAATAATCTTTGTTCGGTTCTTAAGTGGCCTGTGTTAAAAACATAACTGACTGATTTTGCATCTTGTCAGATTGGTCAAACCATTGTGCAACAAGTTATGATCAAGATGGCGCATGGACATACTTCACACAGATAATACATTGTTCTCCCTGGGTTTCCTACATCTTCGCAATAGCCTGTTTTCATACTGCTTGGGCTTCTTTGTGGCTAATGGTTCAGCTTTATCAGGTATTGTTTTGCTTCAGTTTATGCTCTTCTCTTAAAGAGTCAACATATTAAAACTTTTCCCTAGATGATTTGCTCCCATAGAAACTTTGTTTCTGCTTTCCTTGACTATTTCAGGTCATATTTAGGTGCTTTTCTTAAATCTCAGGGCAGTCCTTTAAGTTTCATGGGTACTTGTGCACTCAGCATTCACAAGTTTAAAGTAGGATCGCAGTCTGCAAATCATTCCCATAATCGAGTTCTGGGTTTACTATTTAGCAAAAATTCCAAACCTATGAAAAGATGTATTTAAAGACAAGACACTCATTTGACTAATAGAACCGGTGTTACTACCCCACAATGGCAGAAAAGCTCAATAGCACAATTAATTTTGAACTGAAAATTCTATGGCAGAGCTCAGCTGTGTGTCACTAGACTGTGTTAAATCCCATTGCTACAATAAAAATATATAACTTGGATTTCATCCTGATGAAGACTGTCAGATTTCTTGTTTGTTTTTCTCAGAGTTTGGCTATGCAAACAAGGTTGAGAAGAGCTGTCTTAAGACATCTAGAAAACAGCTTGTTTAGCAGCTTTTAGGAAAGATGTGTCATTTAAATCCACGTGAAGCTTACTGAGCTATAGATTTGTTTTACATCTTGTTTAAGAAAAAAAAAATCCACAATTTAAAATGTGTACTGCTAGATTTCTGTAATGTCCAAGACACTGAGATATCATGCTGGGAAAAAAAAATGATCGAGGTAGGATATTTACAATTAACTACTGTATTTTGTACACAGACATTTGTAAGTGTACCGCTTTATGATATTTAGAGTGTCAGTCAACAAAGGACGCTTGCAGTCGTTTATAAGGGCTTATAAGATTAATATTGCTAAAAAACCTGTGAAAATGTAAAAAGGAATAGGTAAGCAAAAATCAGAAAAAAAAGCGTAATTGTGCAACTTGGTGAATGAAGAAATGGAATCAAGAAAACGGAGAAGTTATTGTTGAGTCTCTGACATCTACTTTATCTTTTTTGCTAAGATACTTTGTCTTTTTTGGGGGATAGATCTTACTCTTCTATAGACATTTGTAAAAGTGTAGTCTTTACAGTCATCCTGGATAAGATTGCCTTCTCAGTGAAAGTGTTAATGTTACAGCTTGCTGGGTACTGTTTTAGTCCAAATGGCATTTAAAAACATAGTTTTTTGTCATTAATTATGGCAGCAGTTACTTACTTGTTAGGTATGGCCAACTTCTTTCCCTCCTTCCCTACTCAATACTGTCTTTAGGTATCACCAGAATTTAAATCTGCAGTCTTCCAGTTTTAACCGTTACTTATATTTTCCTTTCGGTAAGATTGTGTTCTTGGGATTGACTTCTCATGAAAGAATGAATCTCCTGATACAGAGAAAATCTTCGAAGCATCCTGTTGCACTCAGGAGAACTCCATACAAGTGCGTATTAATGAATAGTGTGTTTTGAGCTTGTATCTTTTCAGTATGGATTTGCTTCATAAATTCAAAAAAAACAGTTGTCTATGGATGTGCTACTCATGCCTGTTATGAGTTGTGCTAAGAAAAGGAAATGGACCTCATTTTCCTTGCTGAGAACTTCCTTTGCCCTAGGAAATAAATGGCCAGTGTAAGAGCTACTGGGGTTTGTTCTGCATGGCTGTGTGTATAGGAAGATGATGTGCCAAAATCAGTCCATAGCTTTTATCAATAGGTGGTGTTCTGGGGGTGAGGGGGTGTTGTCCATTGTGTTCATCAATCTCTGTCTGTTCTGTAGGTTCAGAAAGGGAATTAAGGTATGAACTGGTTCCTTTGTGACTTCTCTTGCAATACTTAGCTCAATACAGAAATTAATACCAAGGTTTCTCTGCTACCCTGAAATTCTGTGTTTCCTCATGTATTAACAGAGGAGGTCTTACTAAGTACTAACTTTTAAATATTTGAGTTGAATTTACTCTGCTCTCACTCTTTTATGTCCTACAGGTTGTAAAAGTTGAACAAAGGAATAATGCTCAGTAGAGAACTATTCTTATATTTCTTCTCCCAGAGCTGTGTTCATTGACAGCCTTGTATCTTAAGTACTATCTTGGGTGAATGTGTATTTTTGATGCTCACAGTCATCTTTTTTTAGGTTTGGTAATGGATATTTTTTTCCTTTTCAGTCTTGGATGCTTCCAGAATCTTGCAGACTTTTTTCAGTGCAGTTGCTTTGGTATGTTGAAACCCAATGTAGTTGACTGGACGAAGCAATATAACCTTTTTCATCTGTCAAAGGAGAAAAATGTTCATTCTGTATGAAGGTTTGCGTAATTTTGAAAACAGTTGAGCTGAAAGCTTAATAAAACTGGATATTTTGTTAATTTTTACAACTGCTTCTGAAGTTTCTTGTTTTTATTTTCATTATTGTTTCCAATATTAAACCTATCTTGCATAAGCTACAGCAGGTTTCTATATGAAACAATCACAATATGTGTGTATATATAGTTTGAGCTGAAACTAATTGCAATTTTATGTGATGACACTAAGGATATATTTTTTTAAACGTAAGTTTTTAGGGCAGAGTTTCAAACCATGTTGGTACCTTTTGTTTTATTTTCCACATAGTAAAAGAAAATTACAGTTGAAAATTAAGGGGTATGTTTATATTTTAAAATTTAATATTGCAATTACCCTATAATGTTGCCTATGTTGTTAAAACCTCTATTACGTCTTTGTGTTTGAAGGGTTCACATGTAATACAATAGAGCTTCCATGCTTTTAAGTGTATTTGTAGAGATTGAAATAGATTCAAGGGGTATGTGACTAGTGAGATATTTAAGAAGAGGCAAACACAAAACCATAAGAAAAATCCTGACTCTCTGCCTTATGTTTTGAATGTATATGTTCTCTGTTACTGCATGAAAATGGCTAAGCTGATGATGGAAAATAACAATTTATATAGAAAGAGGGAGTTGTTCCTAGCTGCATGCACACATCTTTAACAGCTAGACGTTAGCTGTGTTCCCAAGAAAAGGCTCTAAAGTCAGTCTGGAGTGGCTAGCTGGGCAGTGTGGTTTTGAATAGGAATCAAAGTTGGTGATAATGAAAACCAGCACGGAAACAGATCACGACCAGAAAATTAAGGTTAAATACCATCTAGAAGTGTCAATGTAAGAGTAAGGTAATGTAATGAAGCACAGTTGTTGTAGTTAAGAAATGGGGGTTTTTATTCATCTCGGTGAAACACCTTTATCTGCAACATTGTAGAACATAAAAGCAAAAGCATCTTTAAGTGGAAGTAATGTGGAGCAGTAACAGTACTTTATTGTAGCTTGAAAACATACAATAGCAAAACTTAAAACACTATATTCTAAGTAAATGCTGTTCTGCAGAAATATCTCCCTTTGAGAGAAAGAATATCAAGTCATTTTAATTGTCTCAAAGTGAATAACATCTACTTTGCCATAAAACAAAATGTCAACGTGTTCAAAATACCACTAGGAGATTGGTAGAAAGAGATGGCATAACATGCTGAGCGAAGCGAATGGGAACGCTCTGACCCTTGCCACTCCATAAACTCTGTCTGCCTTAATGGGACAGTATGCTGAGTCTTCAAAAATCCAGCCTAAAGCATGGTAAATACTACACTAAGAAGCAATAATCTTCCATGATGTTTTTCTTTATTTACTGTAAAACAGACATGAATCTTGTTTTATCACTGTACCTTTTTAAGCTATTCTAAGAATTTCTTAAGATATAAGCTCAGAAGTTTTTCCTGCAATGTGGAAAATATTAAACAAATGCCCTAGGTTCTTAGCAATATGTGATGTTTAATATTTTACTTGACAACTATCACTTGGTAGCAACAGCAGCCTGAGTCTCCTGCATCCATTTCTTCTCATTCACACTCTTTCTTTTCCACTTGAGTGAGGCCACCAAACCCAATTCCTTTGGGACCAAAATTTTTTGCGTAGCAAACTGCAAAAGAAGGAGGGGGGAGGTAAATGGTATTCTGAATGTTTTAATGTAGAAATAAATTACTTTTGGTTTTAGTACTACTACCAAATTTAAGTTAATAAAAGGAAGGAAATTTGAAATAATGTCTTTCTCAGAAATGTCTACAGGTTCTAATAGTGAAACTGAAATCACATATTTGAATTCAACAAAAGTCACATCTATCTTCTCAAAAAAACCCTTTAAAAACTCTGTGTGTTTAAGATCTAAGTATAAAGATGTTTTCCTGCATGAAAATACTCAGTAAAACTTGTTCTGTGTGAGTAATACAGAATGAGTAAGACGTCAGAGGTTTTCAAAGGAGGTTTAAAACTAGAGCATAGTTCAGAAACTGCTGATGGTAGTTTATACTACTTCACTTTCACTCTATATTGCTAAGTGTGTGCATAGTTATTTAACACAACTCTGCTAAGGAAATAGTAATGGTCAGCATATTTCTCCAGATATGCTAATTTGATCATCTGCAGTTGTTGAACTGTACCCAAAGTCATGGAACTTAAATATTTTTCTTCAGGATTCTGTATAAAGTTTAGCCTAGGATATAAAAACCTTGCATATTTTTCCCCTTAAGCTATTTCTAAGAGTCAAGTGAAGTCCATGAACTTTCTTGATCTGAGGAGAAAATCTGGATGTATAATTTAGCATTTGCGCGTCATCTTATATGCTACCAGTATAGGGGAAGTATCTTTTAACTGTTACTAGCAAGAATTCAAATTAGGACAGTGACCTTAAACAGATGACCTTTGAAGATCTGTATCTCTGTGGATTTTTTGGGTTTGTTCTTTGTTTTCAGTGAGTGAGACTGTGCAGGTACAAGAGTCTGCCCAGCAGGTATGGCCGGTGATACTGTTAGAAGGGCTGAGGACAGATCTGAGAGGATGTTGTATTTGCAGAAAAACTACAACTTGAAAATGTAAATGTTAATAGTGGAAGATGCAACTGCAACATTACCATAGCTCTTTCCTTCGCTTTCAGAAAGTTGTTAAGAAAAGTTAAAATGAAATTTCATGAAGGTATTAAGCATGCAACAAGGTAAATCATGATGGCAATAGTAGGTCTAAAAAGGCTAATTTTAGATTGACTCAATAACGCAGTTCATCTCATTACAATTCTCACCTTTACAGTAGAGCTCTCCATCTTTGTCTGTAACATTCGTAGATTCTAAACTCTTCCCACAAATAGCACAGCGGAAGCATGTCTTATGCCAAGGCTGAGGAAATCAAGACAATTCATTATATATTACAGAAAGTGCACAGTTAGCAGATACAAGAAACAAAGAACTACTGCTTTTCATGGTGTAAAAAGGTTAGAACCGTTTTGTTGTTCTTACAGCTTTCATTTTTAGTCTTTTAAAAATTACTTAATAACATCTTGGTATGGTATAATAAATGGAGGTGTAGTAAAAAAGCAGGGAGCTATAGATAGTAGTCTTGTTTTGGCCACTTCTTTGATGTGCAGAGATAATACTCTAGTGAGAGTTCCTAGAGCAGAGAGCTAGCATGTCATGTGAGACAGGCTTTTGTTTTATTAGTCACAGGATCTCATTAATACATCTGCAGTTGCCACTACAAATAAATGCTTAAATTATAAATATCCCCAGAGATGGTGATAGAGTAACAGTGGTAGAAGAGCCAGCCTGTATGGTAGCCAGGATTGTTTTTCAGACATCAGCAAGATGCAAGTAGTTGAAGGTGGCTTATGAACAGCACATGGTTTTAAACCTCCAAGTATATCACACATCTTAGCAGTTTACTAACTCATCCTCATGTTTCCTTCATCTAGACTATGAGTAGAAATTTAAAAGATGAAGTACCTCTTAGCTTGAGCTTATCATTATAAAAGTGTGTTTTGTTTCCAGTGCTGTGGTAACTACTTACTTTTCCTCCTCCCATGATCTTCTCTGCAGCATACACTGATTTGCCACAACGAGGACATTTATCCACATCTACCGTCATTTTGGCAAACTTTGAAGGATTAGTCGGTGTAGAAGGGCGAGCAGACTTTGGTGATCCCCTAAAACCAAAGTTTTCAGTGTTTTAAAATACTGCTTAAAATGTTATCTTCATTCTCGAAATATGACTTAATGATTTTTGGTAAGGGTTAAGAAATACTAAATTAATGGTCTTAGACATGCAAAAAAGTGCGGGGGGAAGAAATGCAAGTATTCTATTGAATTCTGTGTTGTGTGACGAAAAGCTGATACTGTAACCGCTGTTACCTGCTTTGAGGTGAGTGCTTGGAGCTGACAACAGGGACATGCAGAAAAGATTGTGCTTAATGAAAAGTGAAAGTGAAAAAGATTTGTTTTATTGCTAGGCAAGAGGACAATCAAAAGACCTTTCTTTGTAATTGCCTATCTGCTGGTACTCAGTAAGTGGAAAATAAAAATTTAGATTTTGCATGCAGTTGTTTCAATAGTCACTGTAACATTTGGACAGGGAACTGGGGTTCTTAGCTGGCCTGAGGTCAGAAGCACATCAGAAAAGTAGCTTTGCTTTGTACTTCTGGACTTGGTGCCTTATGGCTTTGTGGTAGCTTGGAGCATTTCACAGAATGACTTCTGAATTATCAGATTGCTGGACTGCAACAGGTCATTAAATCTACAGGACGCAACAGTTTTTGATGCAGAACTCTGCCTGTAATGGATTTATATCTTAAAAGCAACTATAGTTAAATATGTTATTTAAGCTTTTATTTCTTGCATAGCATATAGGTTAATTGGTTTCCTTACAGTTATACCAGAAGAAAGCATCGTTGATTTGGAAATGTGCGGCTTAGAGAATCATAGAAAAATACGATAAAAATGTACCATCAGAGATAATTATGTGCTTTTGGTAGATGATGTCCTATTAGAATTCCTTTGTTCAAACATATTTTCATTGTGTTTGTAAGTATTATTTGAGCCACAGGGAGGATTTAGAAATGTTATTTCCCCCATTGAGAGGAGAGTTAACAGTGTGTGGTAGTGTGATGATTTCACTCACAGTAAAACCTAACTGTGTTTTAGCCTCTGACAGGAAAAAAAAATAAAATTCTCACCGTCTATGGTGAATGTGACTTTATCACTGTGCTACTACTGGCAAATTGCAATTGCAGTGAATGTTTATGTCTGTGGTGGCATATAAAGGCTGCTGCTGCAGAATAATTGCCCATTGAAGGAGGAGATAATTTATAAAGAAGGCTTAAAGAGACTGAACATCATTAAAAATGGGTTAATTACTGTGTCTACTGAAGGAAAGGTTGTAGGAAAGTCTGCTCCGCTGCTTATGATGTTGTTATGGAAACAGAATAGAATAACTACCCCAGTAAGTGACAAGTAGTACCAGAAAAGGTGCTGTCAGTGGGATTTAACTCACTGGTGCAGATTCAAGCCCAGATGGTCACCAGTATCGGTGCTGAGACATCCTGCCCCTTGTCCGAAGCCAATACCTTTGGGACCGTATTTTCTCCCGTAACAGGTTTTGCAGTAGATTTCAGATTCGTGAGCTGCTACTGTGGTGCTGTCCAGAGCTTTTCTGCAAGCCACTGAAAACAGGAAGAAAGAGGCATGTATAAACACTTGGGGTTTTCAAATTTTAATTTAGATGGTTCAGAATGAATACAATTGGTGTTTATTTTTGTTTATCTTTAGAAATACAGGAAAAGGAGGATGTTAGCTTGTAGTCAGTATAAAATGTCACTGGGATGTTGCTGAAGTAGTTGTGCATGCACACAACACGTTCTGCTGTCACTCTAAAGTTATACTCCAACCTTAGGAAAACTGTGAGCTTGTCAAGACAGTTTGTCTAGATCTGTGAAGCTTAAGATGCATTGGAGATTATTATCCTATACTCCCAAATCTTTTTTTTTTTAAAAAAAAAGGAGGTTGCCGGGGTGTTGACTCTACTGTGCATCTGCACTCTTCAAAATAGGCACTCTGAGCCTGTGGTGGCTTTCTCATTTCAGCCCACACTGTTTTCATGTGGCATATTTCTAAAAGAGGATATAACATACGTAGGATGTCCAAAGTAAGTCAAACAGAATGGATTTTTTTAAGTTATTTGTTCTAGCTGTAGTGCAAGGCAGTGCAATGATCCCAAATAACTGGTTGTCTCAGCTCTGTTAGACTTTCTCCAGGATGGCAAGAGTATGACTGTAGCCATTCCAAAACCAGAGAGCTCTTCCTAGTTGTGTTCATTATAGAGAAATACTGCTCATCTTAGCTCACTAGGAGAGGTCTGGGAGACCTCTGGACGGAAAGTGCTGTGGGAATGCCCAACATTCGCAGTGGAATAGAAATTATATTATCTGTGGCACCTCTTGAAACCAAGCCTCAGCTTGGAAAGACCAGAGGTTATGAGTGCTAACAGCTGCTTATTTGGGGATCTCTGTAAGCAAGTATCCATGTTTTGAGAAACACAACCCACACCTAGAGCTCACCAGCATTGCTGAGGATGGTCTTGTGTGTGGTTATTCTCATCAGCTGGCTGTGCAATCTAGATTACCCTCTTCCCTGTGCTTTGCTTGTCTGAAACCCAGTCAGCGTTTAGAGGCTGAATTCTGGTTCCAGTCCAGTGTGGATCTCTTTGCTGGTTATGGATGAAAACTGGACAATATCAAATGGGAAAAAAATAGTAGCTACACTTCAGATGTGCGTGGGGATTGTGAGCTGCACTGTTTTGGGAACTTGGTGTGAGACAGCTCCCACCCCACCAAGAGAGGCTGAAGCTTTCCATTTGGAATGCCTATAGAAAATCAGGATTTTGTAGTATGCTTAAAAATTAAAATTTCAACACTTCTTAAAAATTGTTCATGTGTCAACAGTGGTTGATAGAGGGAAAAAAAAAAAGCAGGCAAAGACTTTTTCTCCAACTTTTCTTGAAGAAGTGAATGCCCCACAGAGGGCATTCCAGTCATGCATGGGCTGTTGACAGGCAAAATGAAGTTTCTTAGCTCATGTAAACTGCAGAAACCCATGAAATACAGAAGTATTGGAAGTGGTTGAAAGGTCAAGCTTTAGAAGAGCTAGCTGTTTGATTAGTCCCTTTTCCTCCATGTTTATTTTAATTGTCCTGCTGTGAGTCTAAAATTCATCTACAGTAAGGAATTTAAGCTGATACTGGAACCACAGCAGCTTTAATTCTGTCACTGTAGTGCATAGAGGAGAAAATAATTTGCAAGAATCTTTATAGTTAATAGAAATAAAATGTGGGGCTTCTGTAAATGTGTGAACCCTATCTCATGGTGCTCCAGTCTCTTCTGCTTTGACATGATAATTATATTTGCTAAGGGAGTTAAGGGATGATGGAAACTCTAGCAGTAGATAGTGTTTCTATTTCTGGCACCTTAGGGATAGAGTATCAATTCACCACAACAGATGGAGCAAAAGCCCTTGAAGTGCTATTGTTGAAATAACTTGGAGACCCGTCATCTGCCAACAGATACCGCTTGAGAGCCGGCACGAAGAAGTCTCAGGTTGACGGTGCGAGATCCTGCCAAATGTCCATCACAGCTGCGGGTTTAAGTAAAAGCTGTCAGGGAAACAAGGTAGGTAAACAGCAATCTGCCCGGGAAGGAGGGTCTGTTGCCAAGAAGTTTCTCCCTTGTGGTGTTTGTAGGGGAAATCTGTAGAGCGGAGAGCGTGACTGATAGATTGGCTGGTGTGATTTTTACTGTGTTAACGAGTTGGTTTGAATTGTTTATACTTTTGCCCAAATTGGACTTTTTTGGTCAAAAAGTAATGGTGCGTTGTTGTGGTCATGTGTTTTGTGTGTCTGGTCAAATATAATGTAAAATAGAAAGTATATTTTGAATATATATAATACAAAAATATTTAAAACCTCTGCTAAATAGGTTAGCCATTTCCATACCTGAGATTAGGTCAGGGAGGATTGTTTTTCTTCTGATGAGAAATGAAATCCTATAATTGGTTCACTGAAAAGCCCATGAACATGATACATGATATTGAGTGGTCCAGAGCTGCTGATTAATGTGTGTGAATCACGGGAAAAGTAAAGCCAATTAACATAACTCTGCTGTGCCAACTGGGCTTAGATGCGTCTTTAATTTTTGACCTTAAACATACTCCTGTTTGGAATACTTTTTTTAGTATCTAATCTATTAATTAATCTGAAGTAAATTTCAATCAGACTTACAAATACAAGAGGCAAATAAAAGACAAAACAAAAACAAAATCCAAACCAACCAACAAAAAAAAAAACCTGCCCCAACCAACTAACCAAAACCAAAGAACCTCCCCCCCCAAGAAACCAAACAGGTAGCAGAGCTAGTGGGTGTATGTTGTTTATCATGAATCATTAAACAAAAAAACAAAACAAAACAAAACAAAAACAAACAAAAAAAAAAAACCACCAAACCAACAAAACAAAACAAAAACCAGTTACGTTAAGAATGAAGCTTAAACTTCTTCCGATACTAGGTAGGAGAGAAATACTATTAACTATGCCCTGTCAGGACAGCTTTTTATTTTGATTAGACACTGGAGAGTCTACTCATTTGTCATCTCTTTCCATATCAGTTTATAGAGTTTGTTAAAGCACAAGTGTAACTCAGAGGTTTTCTCAAAATTATCACATTCATGTCCCTCTCCCTATAGTTTCTCTGATATCTAGTATTAACTGTTGTAGGCAGCACGTGGAAGCAGTAAGAAGTCTCTAGTTTTCACAAAACTGAGATTTTTACTATTCTGTAAGAATCAGCTGAAGGTTGTTGATTACCTGAAAACTTTTTGAGGGAATTGTTTCTTACTCAGTTGTTCAGGCATCGCTTTCAGGGAGTGTGGAGAAAGGCAAAGGCAACCCAAATGTGTCCTTTGGACTGATTTTGCATAGCGCTGTACTGTGTCATCTGAGCACGTAATATCAATCTCATGCCTCCAAATGAAAATTCTTTATTCGTCCAGGAAAGGAGGGTGAAAAATTAGATTCCATGACTTTGAAGCTGTCATGCTGGAAATCAGACTGCAAAGGTACTAAATCTCAAGCATTGTCTGCAAAATAAACTGTTTAGCTATCTTTAGTTATTATCAAATTGCTCACTCTCTCCACAAAAGGTGAACAGATCTGAACTGATACCTTCTCTCTAATTTTTCAAATGCTAGCTTGTCCACAGAGAAATCAAAATGCCTGGAAGCTATTTGCCAAACATGAGAGGTGCATGGAGTAAAAAAGTAAGTAAAATGAGTCTCTGTGAAATATGGGGAAGGAGGAGATTGAGGTACTTCTAGGGTGTTGGTGGGAGATTTTGATGACACCGTGGTAATGTCCTTCAGCTTTCTTGTGAGAAATTAATTAATGGTAGGGTTCACCATAGAAGTAATCATCTCCTATAATATCCTAATAAGACGTACTTCTGTCATATGAGTGGTGTTTGTTTAGGTCTTTTAGACTTTTTAACTTGAAACAAACCTGTAATATGCTACATGGTGAGACAGAAGGTATAGTTTCTTGAAGATCAGCCTAGGTACTGTGATCCTACAGCACTCTGGTGTCCCTAAGAAAAATCATCCGATGCGTGTTTGGAAAAAGAGCCAGGAACCTGAGAGGCAGATTGCTTGGCCTAAAGGGCTAGAAAACTGGGTTTGACTATTAAGAGCTGTTATGAAGTGGCACAGTGGAGTTTCAGAAAACTGGCTGCTGCTTTGAAAACACATATGGTCATTTTCCATCCTTCCATTACTAAAAGGATGGGAAACAGGTTTCACCTTCTGGTTTCTAGAGAGTGCTGGACCAGACTCCCTCTCACCGTGCTTTAGGTAGGATGATTAACGTGTGACTGCCCTGTGCTTCAAACTTGCCCAGAAGTAAGATGCATAAGCTTTACAAAACTTGCTCTGGGTGAAATTCAGTCTTATGCCAGTTGCTTCTACCGTCCTGTTTGTTGCGAAGGGGGTTTAAAACCCTGCTGTAGGTGTCCTGTCAGCAAACATGAATTGGGGAAACAAGCTGCTTTATTGCATGCAAAATAGTTCAGAAGTAAATTTACTAGCTTTGATGAAAGTTTTACACAGAGCTATGGAAATACTGTGAAAACAGTGTAGCTCAGCTTACTGCAGAGGAAGCATGTCTTGTGAAAACTCCTTCCGTTGCACTGGATTTCCTCAGCGTGGTACACTGTCTTTTCACAGGCACCGCATTTGGCTCCACCTCCCCAGTTCGGCATCCTTATATCTGAAAGGTAGCCTAGAAATGGAATTACATAAATAAATACAACAGCACAAGTGATTATTTCAAACAGAACGACTTGATTTATATAATTTTTTTATTTATTATTTTTTTCCCTCTCTCCAGTCAGCTGCTGTGGCATGCATGCAGTATACTATGTGCCTGTGTGGTAGCAGGAATGTCTCCTACCCATGAGGGAGGGTGCTGGCCTGGTGCTTTTGGGAAGCAGGGGCAGTCTAAATCCTCTGTCCTGTGGGACCCTCTTATGTAAATAAGGATATTCCTTAGCTTGGTATATTGTGATGGTAAATACGTGAAATGATGGTGAGGTGTTTTAGTGAAAATGTGCTAGGATCATCCAAATGCCCTCTGGAGAAGTGGATCTAGGTTTTATTTTCCAAAAAACAGTAATTTTCTTTCACTCCTGCCTTCCCCTGTATCCCAGCATAGTGTTTTCCCTCAGTTTTTACTTTATGTGTGTGCTGATCTGTTTTTGCAAGGTGATTTTTAATGGAAGCTGAGAAGTGCTTTGAAGCTTTACTGGAGTTTAAGCAAAAGTGTGAACAGTATTTGCCATTAAATTTTCTACAGAAAGGTATTCTACCTGGGCTCTCTGTTAAGAGACAGCATATAGTACTATTTGTACCCTCTCCAAAGCAAGTGCTAGGTCATCCAGTGCCACATGAGCTTCCTCGGTGACATATATAAAGGAAGTTTTCTGTGTCAGTTTGAGACCATTTTACACAATTCTTACCTGGTTAATTCCACCTTGAAGTTCAACAAATGTACAATATTCTTTCAGAGGACACTTTAATAGAAACAAGTTGTTTGTTGCTTTTCTGAATTTCTCATAAAGCAGCTGCAAGATCACTGTGCTGCACAGCCATTATAAAGTAATAATAGACAGGTTCCTAAGGTGCTTAAGGTGTGTTTTGCTTTGCCAATTGTTTTCAAAATCTAAACATCAGAGGAAAACAAAAGAATAGTGGTTACTATTGCAATTCTTGCCATTCGGGTTACTGCTGAAGTGACTTGCCCAAGGTCACACAGGAGGGCAGTGTTGGAGCCAGGAGCCTAGCTTGGGTCGCCCGACGGCTGGCCCACAAAATGCCCTTCCTGATGATCGTGCTATGGCACATCTGAAACAACCCCAACCTATGGTTTGCCCTTCTGTTTCCTTGTCTGAGTCATCATTTCTGGAAAGACTGGGACGTCATCTTGTCCTCTGCACATCACGTTATCAGGTTGTTCCAAGCTCTTGGCGCAGACCTTCCTCCTCCTTCTTGGAAAACCAGTCACCTTCTTATTATAGTCCTTCTGAAGCCCACTTGTGCTATTTGTGTTTGATTAAATTCACCATGAGATATTCTTATCTTCGAGAAGGATTTTGAATGCTGAATCAGGCCTGCTGCCTGAGAATTTTCTTCTGAGGTTAAGTGAGAGAGAGAGGGGAATTTATTGTATCAGTGATGTAACATAACTGGTACTTTTGATAGCTTGCATTTTATACTAACATTTTACTATGTCTGTACTTTGGACACTCATGTCCCATGTTTATCATCATCTCAGTGACTTCAGTAGTCTGTCCTCTGAATTTCGGAATGCAGTGACCAAGTTCTGTGTGCCAGGTCTGCAAGCTGAACTTTTCTGGAAATTCTTTTTGGCAACTAACACTAAAAATCTTGCACTGGTATAAAAGGCATGTCTGTCCAGCAAAAGGAAGGTAGCGTAGGAGTGTGTGCATGTGCTGAAGCGGTGGCATTGAAGGCAGAGCAGCGTGGGCAGGTTTTACTATTAGTGTTTGATAACAATGCAGATACCAGCATATCGAAACATCTGCACTCTAATAAAGTGGTTATTAGTATATCCTTAACACTGTATAATTACATAGTCGCTGTTGCAACTGTTACACAGGGTAGACAGCATACCTGTCATCGTCATGCAAGATGCAATCTCTCCTCCTCTTTGTGAGACTGATTTATGCTCAGCTGAACAACCTCCCCAGCTCAATCAGCCCAGTCCTCTGCTGGTGAACAGCAATGGCATCATTCAGCTCTTTTACACCCTAACAGTTCTCCTGGGAAGCTGTTCACGAGCTGAACTGCTCTGATGGTTAGAAAATGGTAGTGATGCAAAAAGGAAGAGAAGGCTCAGCTTGCCTCTAACTCTGTTTATCTGTAATGTAGGGAGTGAGAAGCAAAAATCTGATGTAGCTGAAATCAGAAACAAAAATAACTGCACGCAAGGAACAGACTATGAATTTGGTCCCTTTTTACTCAGTGAAGGCTTTGCTGAGCAGCACCGTTAAAACCTTTTTTCCATTTCTTTCAAATGGGAGATAAAGCAACAGAGAAAAGTCTTTCACATAGGTAAAATCTTATCGTCTCATTCCACCATTCTATATTTTCCCCTGTTTTTAAAGTACTTCTGTATTGGTGCCATTTTTTTCTTCTATAAGAGTTCAAGTAATGTTTCAAACACTTTAAGAGAAGCAAGAGTGATGGGAGACAAAAATCAGCTTTGTGGCACTTCCCTGAAAACTAAAATGAGATTTTTGTGTTCACAGTGTTCCCTTTCGAATCAAGTCACCAGTGGAATCCCTCCCCAGCTGCAGCAGCACCCGTGGCTGCCTGGGAGGAGAGCGGTTTGTACCCCCATTCTCTGTAAAACTGCTTCTGCTGTTTCTGGTCCCCTCAGAGGCACACCAAGCACTTCAATCTCTGTCAACAGGATACTTGTTGGAAAGTAGCTCTAATTACATCATTAGCTGAAGGAAAAAAAAAAAATAATCTCTGAAAAAGTCTGATAATGTGTGATAGTGAACCTTGTGCTGTTACGGGCTGTGGTTAGAGCTCTTAAAAGAGCCGTTGCTCCTGAGGCTAATTATAGTAATATGACTGGGCATGCATGCACATTTTCCATGTTTTTTTGGCATCACCTGATGGGAAGCTGTAGGAGAGAGAAGTCACAGTAAAACAGTTCCCATGAGGATACCGCCGTAAGAACGGCAGCGTACGCCTGCGCGGCTGGCTCAGTGGCTGGGTGAGGTGCTGGGGCGAGTCCCTGCTCCTCGTGCCCTTGCTTTGTTCATCTCTCTGAGTGCTGAGCTGCAGTGGCCATCCCTGCAGATGCTGCTTGCGCTGCAGGACTACCAGGATCAAATACATTCCACAGCATGCATGGCATTCCTAGTTTTCTACTCATCTAAATTATAAGGGTGGATAAAGCTCCATCCTTACAGCGTGCAAATAGAGCTCAGTCTCCTATATGTCACAAGCAAAAGATACACCCAAAGTCTTAATGTCACTTAATTTCACTGACTGTGAGTATGTAAATCCCCTTGAAATTCCTTGAACTTTGTTGCCTTAATCTGATGAATTTGCAGCAACTAATAACCACGTGGCACTTGTTATATTTTGGTGATCTAATGGGAAGTGGAGTGGACCCATTCTAAATGTATTAAACATGTGACAGAGAAACTTCAGAGTGTTTTAGCATTGTGACGTGTTGGCAGGCATTCACAGTACTGTTAAGCTGGAGGAGCATTCTTGGACTTGCACTAATAGTATTCAGCAGCTTGTATCGTTCCTCTTGAAAATGCAGCTACTATATGGAGTAAAATATACGCACATCAGATATGCAGACAATGATATGTGCTTCTAGTTATTTAGAGCTTGTAACATTACTATATAGGCCAGCCTCAGAGCAAAGAAGCCTTTGAAGTGTTTCTGTGCTCTGCAAGGCATGAAAAAATGTAAGCTGTCTTCTGTTGGGCTGTTAGTCATACTGTACAAATCTGGATATCACATAACTGTCACAGTGTGTGTCTCACTCTAATCAGAGTGCTATTGATAAGAAAATAATCCAAAAATCCATTACGATCCATTGATTTAAATGGGAAGTGGATGCAGTACTGGCCCCATGAAGTTGTGTAGAGGAGTAAAAGGCAGTGCTAGTGCTAGACAGTGTGGTGCAGGTGAAAAAGATGTTGAAAGTAATTCTGGTGTTTCCATGCTAAACATGAGGTTTTCCCTTCCAAATGCTTATGCATTTGACAGTTTAGAGCTCGCGCCGTATCTGGATGGACTGCAGAAGTCACTTATTGTGTGGCTGGGAGAATTAACCCAGGGCACCACATGTGCTCCAGGGTGGCTTTGAAGTCATAAATGGAATGGGAAAGGTTGGCCTTGGTGACCGCTGGTAGGAATGGTGGCAGAAATGCTGAATCAAGACCGATGGACAGGAGGTGCCTTCCATCTCTATTTTTGTTGCAGCTCACTGTTTGGGCTAGACCCAGTTAAAAATGTAAAGAATACTGATCCCTTACCTAATAAATAAACAGTAATAATAGCAAATTAAATCACACTCTACATTGAAATGCACATATCAAGGCTACATGTGAAATTCTTTTCCCAGCTGAAGTCGGTGGGAAATGCCAGGGCAGCCAGGATTTCACTCCGGTATCTAATCACAGCTCCGCTGCTGACCTGTCCTGTGACCACCAGTGACTCATGTGACCGTCCTCAGTGTTACTCTCCTCACCAGCACCATGGGGTTAACGAGGTATAGCTTCCTTCATAAAAGAAGCAATAAAGTGCTGCTATAGTATTTTCCCTTTCTCTGCCACTAACTCTCGCTGTTAGGTTTTACCTTGATGTGTCTGCAGTATAAAGCACAATTCATGTCGTTGCATCTTAAAAAGCCGCAAGGTGTTTTTGTCAAAATCCAATCCACTGCAGAAAGCATTCTCTCTCGGCAGAATAGATTCACAACAGGGAAAAGGTGTTTGTTTGAAGACTGAGCTCATTTAATGAAGATACAGTATTGATATCTATTTATAGCCATATATTTTATATTCCAATGCATTCAGTGGACTACGGATACAGGTAAATTTTAAGTTTTTGAGTTAGTGTCATACGTTTAGCCTCCCCTATGATCTCATAATGACTGGCATCTTTCATTTATTTCTGCAGTAAACCAAGACATAGAGATGGAGGGATGAGAATTTCCAC